CTCCTTTACGGAAGTGATGGTAGTGAGGTGCGTGCCGATGAGAATGGCGGAGCCAACAACTGATAAGACTTCCAACTCGGTCCGTCCGAGAAATGGCAACCACGACGGCAAGTTGATACCGCCGCTGTCTCGTTTTAGTAAGCGGAGGTAGTGCGGTGGATTACGCCGGTCGACACTCACAAGAAAAAGCCGGCCACACTACCGATACCCAACATGATCGCCGCCCATGCGTTTCCTTTTGCTTGTTCGGCGCGGGGAAGGATATCCACAAGAAGGGCACGATCCACAGCTTGGACTGGTACTCTTGTCAGCGTTTCCAGTACACGCAGACAGAGGGAGGTTTTACTTGCCTGCATTGATGCTGAAATCGATGCAGTATATTGATAAAACGGCAAGCCAGATGGTGAGACGGTTATTCTAAAAATTTCTTGTAAGAGTCCTGGCTCGGGCATCGGAAAGGAGTGGTGTAGATACGGAAGGAGATCCCCATTCTGTGATGATAGACGCAAAATTTCGAGTGAAACCGAGGAGGATGAGGCCCACAGAGCAGATGGCCACACCCGCTACGATGAACGGTCTTCTGCGGCCAAAGCGGGATTTGGAGTTGTCAGCCATGACACCTGCACAGGTTATCAATCAGTTGAGGCAATGTGGGAGTGGGGTCAGGGCAGACCGATTAAGGGCTGAACGATGAGACCAGAAGTGGTCCAGCAACGAAAACGAGGGCCATCAGTGCCTTGGCAAGGCCCAGAGAGATGAGGTATGGGGACGCTACGCAGTTTATGGGTCATTCAATGCGGTCGCTTTGCTAGAGTCGCTCACCATAAGCCATTTCGATGGACCACATCACTTGAACACCCGCGAGCCCAATGGTAATGACCGGGAAACGTGCCCACGGGGGTCCGAGGATTTTGGCAACGCCTGCCCATTGTGCAGAACGTCTGATGCCGCCTCGTCAGCAACTGGGAGGGCATAAAGCCCGTCATGATTTTTTAACAACCGTGTTGGTGGTTTACGCAAAGACAAGAGAGAGACAGTTGATTGACAGTGACACGCGTGTTGGCGCCAGTGCCTACTAATGACGTAAGATATTATACCATGAGACCTTCACCACCCTAACATCCTTCTTCCTCCATCCTGTCTTTCCCCTCCGCGACCGAGAAGGATGGTGACCCATCCGAACACAGCCATCACGAAGCGAACTAACCATGCCCCGTCTGCAGTCATGCCAAAGCCAGTTCTCAGCTGCATCGCGAGAGCCACGTCGACAACTGCTGCTGCTGCATTGGTATTACGCGCATCAGTTCCAGGCTGTTCCTCGAATGCCACCATAGCCCGCATAGGGTATGGATTTCCTCCTGTTGTCACGTCATCGTGGAGCTGAACAGCTAGGAGAAGTGGGGAAGGGGGAAGAGGGACGAGCCAAGGGTTCGTATTGAGCGACAACGCCAATGACCGTGAAATACGTGTACTGGACTTATTGTTGCTTGCATCCTCGACCTCTTCACTTGCCGTACTAGCCTCGGCATCGATGTCTACAAGTACGCCGATGGGTGGATCAGGGGTACGGCTCTCGCCCGCAACCTTTTCCTGCGTGATGGTACCTTTTTCATCCACGTCGCCCGATTCCACGTCTGCGGGGCGTAGCAATTGCTTTTCTCCTTGATCTTGGCCGAGGTGAAGGAACCCCCGGATAAAGTAAAAGGCGAAAAGCACTGCTGCCACACTGATGAGAGTGTACACGGCGAGGAGGGAAGCGAGTGAGAACCCAGTCAAAACACGTGCCGCTTCCCAAGGCGAAGACACGGTGGAAGAGGTTAACCCGGAAGGGTGTAGGTCCTCAGTTGGAAGAGCGGGAACCTCGACATCATCCGTGAGTTCCGCCACAGAAGCACCCTCGATGTCATTCAGGTGCTTTGAACCACCCAACATGTCTCGTAATCTCTGAACCTCGGGAAAGGTTTCACCCTGAGAAGAGTCAAGGGGCACGAGTGCTTTGATAGCACTGCCATCGAGCTGGGAAAGAACAGCTTGCTGGCCTTCGTCAGAAATCAAATGGATATTAATTTCGTCGTGAGGTAAATCATGGTCGGATTGCCTGAAAAAAAAAAGGTTCATGAAAAGCGCAAAGGACAATAGCGATTTCTGAACGAACTTGGTGCGCTCTTCAAATATAGCCTTGATGGCATCTTGAACTTCCACAGGTTGTGAATATTCGCTGCATAGTACAGGAATGAGGTTGTACGAGAAAAAAAAAACAGTTGCAACTCAACACGTACGGAACGGGAGCGATAGGACGAGCGGTAACGACCAGCGCCAGGAGAGAAAAGGAGACGAGGAGCGTGCGTGGCATAACACACGATGAAGTTACAGAAAGAATGAGGGAAAATTCAGGTGTTAGTGGCACAATCGGTTGAACATGCCACACCCCGCCAAGTGTGACCGAGCCGGGAACTGGACTTGTTTCAACATTTATTTTACATAATGGCCCACGCGTGTCGTGTTTACAACTTGCTCCCTCTCGACTTGTTACCCTGAACAATGGAAATGGGATACAGTACATTGTTAGAAGTTATGATAAACGTACAGGATGGTGGCAGAAAGCCCAAGGCTGATGCCAGGAGCCACACTCGTCAAATCTCACAACTATTCACACATCTTTCCTACACGGGCTTGCATTTCTCTCAGGCTTGGATATGTTCTGCTGGATTTGCAAGGTGGTGGTTGTCAGTGAGGCTTGTGTCAAGCGCTGACTTGAACGCGAGTTATGTAATTACTGCCAGTGTGTCCCTGACAAGTGACGCGTCGTCCAAGACTCACCGTTTCTCAACAACACCATGGAATGCTCGTTTGCGCTTACAGGAAAAGATTATGTTCTCGTTGCTGCAGACACTACTGCATCACGTTCTATCGTAAAAATGAAAGTTGATGAGGACAAGATCAAAACTCTCAGCCCCCACCTTCTCATGGCCTACTCTGGAGAGTCAGGTACGTGTATGTATATACATCCCCGATGTTCAATTTCTCACCTGCGCAAATTCACGTAGGTGACACTGTTCAGTTCGCTGAATTCATAGAGCGAAATATTAGACTCTATCACATCCGCAACCTCTATCCGCTCCGTCCACAGTCCGCCGCGTCGTGGATTCGTCGGTCGCTGGCAGAATCACTTCGTTCTCGCTCACCTTACACCGTCAACTTGCTGTTGGGGGATTCGACACAGCAGCCGAATCACCACATCTATACTGGATCGACTATCTCGGTACTATGGCTTCCGTGCCATTCGCAGCCCATGGTTATGGAAGTTACTTTGCACTGGGTTTATTAGACCGGTGAGTGGATTTTTTTTATCGGACATTGCCCCTCTTTCGGACGGGACGTGTGCTTCCCCTGTGCATCGTCGAAAGTTCTGTCGGGTCTGAATATGATGATTTACAGATACCACAACCCCGATGGTTCTTTGGAAGAAGGTCTTGACGTTCTCCGGCGCGCGATAAACGAGACGGCACAACGCTTGGTAGTTGCCCCGGGCAACTACATTGTAAAGGTTGTTGACAAGGATGGCGTACGGGAAGTCAAGCTGTAATTTTGTAATAGACTGCCAAAGTCAACGCGACTGATCTCGAATATACGAACGCGCGTGAGAGCACGCTCACAAAGATTGATTGTCTCGAATGATGTCCGAGGGTATCAAGATACGCAGCACGTCTCATTCGCGCTCAGCAAATACCATCTCGATTTGATTTCGTCAAGGTGAGAAAGTTGAGGCCGACCAATCCCCTTCTGGCTTCGTGGCGCATACTACCTGTAACACAAGAAGCGATGGCCGTCTTGTCCTCGTCGATTCCAGAATCATCAATGTAGACCCCTCTCACTACTCGAAGGCTGGGGAAGGCCTTCCCTCGGACCACTCTCCTCCTTCTGCACAGCTTCCCCATTCTTCATCCTGGGATTGGAAGATCCGACTTTCCTTCTTCAAAACGACCCAATTTGGCCCAACTGTTCAAGTTATTTCGGGGTAGCGGCGTGGAAGAACTGATAAATGAGCGTCCTGACCCACCTGTAGCAATTTTGGTTCATCTTCTTGATGCTGCTTCCCAGTAAGTAGTAGCTCTTTGCGGCGCATCGTCTCTCTCACACACACATGACAGTTCGTTTTGCGGATTTCGTCTTTCTCACCCTTGGCTTCCTTCACGGTCACCATTGACCCCGACGATGATCCTGTGAAAAAAAAAAGTTTGCCGAGGTCACCAATACATCACATTGGTCGCGCTAGGTCATTGGATACTGAATGTTTCTTCTTCTCCGAGGAGAGCGCTGACAGGATCACCGAGAATCCCAGTGGATCAGATCCTCAATTTAATAAGTCGTTATCTCACCCCCCGCACAACCCGGGTTCGATTCGTTTCTTCAGTCCTTTCAAGCCGTTCTTCCCACCACGACCACCCCTGCTGTTCTGGGCTGAGCAAAGCTGTATCCAGGCTCTTACCAAATGCATGACTCGGGCTGGTCGTCAAGCGCTCTTTCCGTCTCATTCCGATTCAATCTTCGACCACACTTCTGTTCATAGACCAAGGAGCACTATCGCCGAGTTCTTCCTCCGAGTCCGAGTCCGTGGCGGCCTAGCTGCGTAATCTCTTCTGACGCACTTTCTGAGGATCGTCAGAGATACTAAGCGGTATTTGTTTGGCTATGTCAATACTCACTCATGCTCACAATCACAAAATTGCCTAGTTGTTTCCGTGGGGATGCGGACCAATCGGATAACTCGGTAGAATACTTGCCAGGGGAGAATTATGCTTGACAGTCTGCGTTTGACTGAACTAATAGTCAGAATGTACTGGGGGCCGTATTATTAATAAATTTTGTGTTGCTAAATTAACTGATTGTTTGTCGACGGCCTGTGAGGATTGTCCTTTGTAGGCAATCAATGCTTGTACGTACAGGGGCAAGGGCGACCATAGTTTACGGTTGCCAGGGAAAAACAAGAAAAAAGACTGGGGCCCAACTGGGGTTCGAACCCAGGACCGCTCGCAGAGTGACAGCTGTAAGCTTTACCCAAAGCGAGCATCGTACCACTAGACCATTGGGCCATTAGTGATGGCTGGTATTGTGATAATATAATCCGGCGCTAAACCAGATGGGTAAAGGATTCCTCTTTTGCTCAGCGCTTTCCATGGTTGAGAGATTGTTACGGTCCAATGGACAAGTTTAAAGCCCTTGAACCAGTCAAACTCCACCAGGGTTCTTCATTTGGCTCACATAGATACGCGTTGGGATCTGGATCACCTTTTGTCGGGAGACTACCATCATCAATTCACTCGGTCATTCTACAATACACTCCGGTACCCGATATCCCGGCCTACGCGCGTACTAATCGTGCCCTCGCCCGCCTTGCTGTCTCCGAAGAACTCTGGAAGTACAAATATTCTCTTTTAGGCATTGATCACTATGGATTTGGACTTGTACTAGACGAGCTGGAGAGTCGGGCACACGGAGACGTTACGGAACAACCTCCGACGCTGACCGTAGACGTTGCGGACGATGATTTTGGTGACTTTACGTCCGGAGAGGATCCTTTTGGTTTCGGGTTTGAGAGTTTCCCATCACAAAGTGGATTCACAACCTCCCCGCCCGAAGTGGGTAATTTTATTGGCAGTGGTACCGTGATGCAGGACACGAATGTCCTCGGCGCTACTTCGTTCCGCGCTCTCTACATTCGTGCGCACAGACTCCTGAGAAACCTTGCCCCAGCGTTACTTGAACCCCCTCACCATATCCTCTCTTCCCTCTTCCCGCCCGTGACAACGACCCCTCCCCTCTCCTTTGTACACCGCTCCAAAACTCTCCATCTCCTTCACCGATTTCTTTTCTACCTTGAACCCCTTCGATCGACACCGTCCCTCCTGACCGCCCTCCGTGCTGCTTCTGACCGGTTCGACACTATCTTGCTCAACGCCTTTGACGTTGCTGACGGCCGGGCCGATGAGGATGGCATGCGCGAGGCTGCTGAAGCGAGTTGGGAAATCTGGGACCCGCATAAAAGTGGAAGCGGCGCCATCGCTGAATGGGAAATAGGGCGTGTTTGGGCTGAGAAACGGGAAATTTTCTACGTCACAAGCGCGCACAAACCTCTGGACAATTTCACGTACGTTATGCGTCCGGTTTTTCCGCACCGTCTGGAGCCGTGAAATAACTATACACAGCCCAGAGGGCGCCTTGAATTTTGAGTCGATGGATGCCTTCATGAGCATTGTCTTGGACGCGCTTCGGGAGCATGGTTCTCGCGCCGTACGTGTCTTCCCCCCGGCTGCAGGAGTTATCCTGTCGTTTGCGGACCGTATTGCGACGGAAGTAGTACGTTGTTAAACCTCGTGCCCACCCTATTCCCCCGCTCAACCCAGATTCTCATAGGTTTCTGAATACATTATACCTCTTCTCACCCACGCCCGCTCTCTAGCGAATGGCGCCTTGTTCTTGAGAGCAACAGCTGCATGTTTTCGGGAAGCCTGGCGCATCGTGGATACTCTTCTAGAAATTCCCGGCCAGCTGCATCTGCCCGATGCGGAGAAAGGAATCAACAAGACACAGGCTGAGGATGTTGTGTGCGTTTTCCTCCCCCCCTTACCCCTCTTTGTTTATGTTCGAAGCACACTGTCTCTCTTTCACTTTTTTTGAGTTTGTCACTATCGATCTAATTTTCCCATCATGAACTGGTACGACAGGTATCGAATGTTCGAACCCAACATGGACGAATACCTTGACGAGGAAGTAGATTCCATAAAGCAAGCTTTCGAGCACATCTGCCGAGAGTGGGAAGACAAGGTATCGTTCATCCTCTCCCCACCTCGTGCCCAGTCTCCTGAGCTCATACCAGACATTCAATACATGTAGACGAGTCTTCACACTGAATCACCTCCCATGCTGGGTACCCAACAACCCTCGTTTCTGGCTTCTGCCTCCCCCGCCCATCTCAAAAGCAACGTCCTTTCAACTTTCACCAACCTCCTTCTCATTCCGGTTTCCGTTGTCCCACGTACCGTCGAGACGGTCTCGGGTGCTGCCGTTCACGGTATTGCGATGCTCGATCCGTGGAGGTGGGGCGGAGACGGTGAGGCAAATGTGGGTATTGCAAGAGAGGGGTACACAAAGGGCACGGACACCGCCGCTGATGTCGTGCTCTGGGAAGATGAAGAGAATCTCGAGGCCTCTAGCGAGCAGGGTGATGAATCTGCAGCACCTTCAACATCTCCGAAACCTTCACCATTGCACACTTTCGACAACCTACAACTTCTTCTCTCCCTCGATGTCACTCTTGAATTGATTCACGCCGCGCGAGAGACGCTCAAGCGTGTAGAGATTTTTGTCAATTATCCCGGAACTTATGGCGTCCGTATTCGGGAGACTATTGAAGAGGTCGCGAATGAATTGCTAGGCGTTCTTGGGGAACGACACGTGCGAAACGGTTTCGAATCGTGTGTAGTCATCTCATCATTCTGGGTTCTTTCTCACTGGATTAGGGCAATGACACAAATGCGGGCATATCAACCTCCCGCACTGTCCGATTCCATCTCGGACCCAGAGATGCCGGCACAAGCGTCGACATCTGTCGCACCGTTGGTGCAATTTTTCGAGTTGGTTCATATCGGAGATATGATCCAGAGCATCGTGCAAGCATATTTGATAAAGAACTAGTACGTGGGAAAAAAAAAACATTCATTTGTTTGTTCCTAACGTTGTTTGAATTAGGCCCCCCTGGTTGATCTATCAGATTTTTTGAACCCTGTTGCCAGAGAAAAGAAACGGTTTGAGAACTTGCTTGACGATTCGGTCGCAAAAGGACTAAACGCTGGGATCGAAGTTCTCATGAACCAGGTTCAACAATTTCTGATCTTTGCATAGGCTTGCTGGCTGAGGGGCTGTTCCAGGTGGATCACATCATTACGGCTCTTACTCCTCCGCGGACGTACTGTCCGCCGGAAGAATCTCCTCTCCTTCTTGGACCCTCAAAAGGTTGCACGGAGGCAATAAAATGTCTCGAAGAGCACATACGGCTTCTCCAGGGGAACGTCAACCGAGAAGTGCTGGAAGTTTTCGAGGGCGAGGTGGGCGTGCGGCTGATCGGGTAAACAAACACAGAAAACTCGTTTCATCCGATTTTGACCCATTGACCTACTCGTCTTTTTTTTTTTTTTTCTTTGGAAACGGCAGGATTTTGCAGAAGCACATCAAGCGCCAAATCATTTCGCTCAACGGGGGCTTTCAGGTCATCGCCGATCTGAACGCTTACCACACCTTCATTTCGTCGCTAAAGGTTAATTTAAGCGTTCATCTTTCCAACACCCAGCCCCCCTCCCTCTCTCCTCTCTCTCACTCTCTCACTCACTTCTGACACGTGCGCGGTAGATCCAGTCGCTGACATCCGACTTTGCGAATCTCAAAATGCTCGGTCATGTGTTCATCGTGGAAGATGCGAAAGACCTCGCGCAGATCGTCCGTGACGTAACACGCTATGGAGGAGCGTATCGACCGGAAGTGAGCACATCCATCACATAGTAGTGGTTTGTTCTATACTCACCTTCTACCGACACAGGACATATACGAGTTTATACAACGACGGAGCGACTGGAAAAAGATTGAGAAAGTTGTTGATAAGACGATGTACAATCTGAATCTTAGAGAAGACTGTATCGTCGCCTGAGCTACCCAGAATGACAACTGTCATCACGCTGATCATTTGGAGCTATAGTCATCAGCGCTCTTTAAACGCCCCCATGGACAAGTGAACCTTAGCATCGGGGGCGGCGGGTAAATGATTCGCACGGGGTCTGTTAGGCAAATCAAGTACGTGTCAGCCGCCTCGAGCAGGCGCCCAATCATTTCATTCATTAAACTGAGGTTGTAGGGATTACTCCACCTTGAGATGCATCACTCTGATCCCAGACCATCCCTCGCTGTATCGGGTAGGAGTAAATCGCGCGATTGTCCGGCCATCTTCTGAAAACTTTATCCGTGCTGTATGATTTGATTTCCATGCATGGGGATTGGCAAGCGAGATCCGAGCAAACGCCTTATGGCTGTCATCTTACGGTCCTCGGATCTCATTGAGGCTTTTGGCCTCGAAGGCCCCTTACTCGCAAATACGTACAACAACACAGGATCGAGAGGATACCCTCTAGCTATATGATCTCGTTTCATCTTTGGTGATGACTTGAGTAATAAGGATCCGATCTGGTTTTTTTTTTTTTGCAGCCCGCCTCGAGGAACCTTCCACAAAATACGATTCGGTCCGGGCACTTTCCATTGCTACGCCGAGGGTTGCCCCCTCGAGAAAGCCACATAATTATTTGCTTATGCATGCCTTCCTTCCAATCTGGGAACTATCACCTCAAAAACCTTTTGTATAGTACAGCAAAGGGGACCCGAGGCGCCCCGGATTTCCAGAGCTGACACACGTTTTTGCATGTGTGTGCGAGATTCATTTGCGACTTACCTCGCTCGTTGCGTGCGGCGCGACTTGTCACTCCACAAGGTAGGACTTCTAGACCAATGTGAAAAACGTGGCAGTTTCTGCGGCCGAGAGAAACATCATTTGGCTTGGCGGCTATCAGGGATGAGGCAGAGACATGTGCCGATTGTTATTTTTCGTTGTACGTTGATGATTGGCATGGTCTGGTCTGGATGATGTCGTTGTTCGCCTGCGGGCACTGCAAGCATTCCGCGTGGCCGAGTGACTCTTGCAACATTCCAATCGGCGTGAAGCTGCATTGTCCATATCGACCCACCGTATTACCACAACCGTGCTAGCCATAAGAGCGAGAAAGAAAAATGAGCATTTTCTATTCCACGCGGAGGACAAGGATCGGCAAATGTGAATCGGAGTATTGGCCCTGTGCCGCGCGGATGACCTCGCCTGAAACGTATACACGCAACGTGGGGACCTGAAAGCGGCACCAGACATTACGGCTCTCCGACGCGTCTTTGTTTAATACTGCATACAATGTGGGAGGTGCAGGCGCATAAATGGCGTGGGGCCAAAGTTGGAGTGATTCCAAGAAAAGCTGAAATTTGTCCGTGATTGATGGCGTTCATC